ATTTTCAGTGGCAAATCCCCAACCGGACTACACTCGGCGGAAATGACATTTTTTTAACGAGAAAATTTTTATCAGCACATTGGTTTAACCGGGCCAGATCGGCAGGAAGTGGGCAGTACTGAAACGACTGTTCGCGTGGGAAACATTTGAGACTAGCAATCACATGTATAAATACAATGATCTCATAAATTTAAGTCAAATACTGTATAGGCCTACATTATGCATTTAATCGGTATAAAACTTGTTTAATGTTTAAACAAGTTTTTGACGACGTCGGATTGACCGGAAAACCCGTCATCCGGAGGCCTCGGTCCCGAGGAGTTCGGATAAGAGGGTGTCTACTGTAAGTAAATTTTTTTCAAAATATGTCTAATGATGGGAAAAGCGGCCATTTTAAATAGTGATTCTAGGGGTTTTACCGTGGAATGATTTTTTTGTAACTTTTAGTAGCCTAGGTATGTCATTCTCAGGGTGTCTAGTTTATTTCCATTACAAAATTCAAGATTAATTCCAGATTTTTCAAGACTAAGTTAGTTTTTTCACCAATTAGTGGGCGTTGATACCAAAATGTATCGATTCTTGATACCGATACCAATTTTTATAGCTTAACCAAATTTTCTAAATAATACTACACCAACCCCTGTCTTTGTCATAAAGTAGTATTATGATAATGTGGAGTTTTCAAGTAAAGAAATAATGCAGCAATAAAAAAATTCCAACTCCGTGCAGCGGTTACAGAAACATGGTCGTCGTCGTCCGCGCGGCAAAATCCTGAACATTTCCCGCGGCTGTTTAGACATCACCGTCATCTCCCGTGGTCACGGAACCGTTATCGTCGACAATCGCAATCACGGCAAAATCATGAACATTTCCCGCGGCCATGTAGGCATCATCGTCGTCTCCCGCGGTCACGGAAACTTCATCGTCGTCCTCCGCGATCGCGGCAAAATCGTCAGAACATTTCCCTCGGCCGTGTAAACATCATCGTCGTCTCCCACGGTCGCCGAAATGCCATCGTCGTCTCCTGCGGTCACGGAAACGTCATCACCGCCGTCCGCGATAGCGACAAAATAATGAAAATTTCTTGCGGCCGTGTAGACATCATCATTGACTCCCACGGTCACGGAAACGTCATCGTCATCTTCCGCGGCCACAGAAACGTCATCATCGTCTCCCGCGGTCACGGAAGGAAACATCATCGTCGTCCTCCGCGATCAAGGCAAAATCATTACAACATTTCCCTCGCCTGTGTAAACATCAACGTCATCTCCCGCAGTCACGGAAACGTCATTGTCGTCTCCCACGGCTACGGAAACGTCATCGTCGTTTCCCGCTGTCACGGAAACGTTATCGTCGTCTCCCGCGGTCACGGTAACGTTATCGTCGTCCCCAGTGGTCACCGAAAGGTCATCGTCATCTCCCGTGGTCACGAAAAGGTCATCATCGCCTCCCGCGGTTTTGGAAACGTCATCCTCGTCTCCCGCGGTTTTGGAAACGTCATCGTCATCGTCCACTATCGCGGCAAAAACGTGAACATTTTCCGAGGCCGTGAGGACAATCATCATAATTGGCTTTCGTGGTTACGTAAACGCAAGACGACGATCGCGGCAAAATCATGATAATTCCCGACTTTGAAATCAAATTTAAGACTAAATCCCGACTTTTCAAGACCATTTTGAAATTCAATACTAATTCCCGATTTTCCCGACTACTAGACACCCTGCATTCTGCACACCCAATACTACAAAATAAAATCATAAAACGTGTTCTTGCAATTCTTTTAAGGTCATATATCCTATATTTCTCTGTCTATAACTTTTTTATAATTTTATCAATTTAGTTTTTCCCTAGCTGCTTAATTTAAGTTGAAGATAATTTTATAAAATTAAATTGTAGGCAGTTTACTTTATTATCCTTAAATACCCCCGCCGCAGCAAACCTGCCGACTAAGCGAATTTCCATTTGTCTGAATTGATTTTCAGTTAAATATATTTTAATAACATTAGGTTTAACGAGTACCTAGGTTTGCTGCTACAAGGAAACTAATAAAGTGTGTTTTTGAGTAAAATATTGATAGCTTAGTACAAAATAAATAAATTTGCCAAGTTTGATCAAAATATATCCATAAACAAGCAAACTACAACATTTGACAATATTCTCCATAAAAATAACATGGGAATTTTAAATTCACAATTTTTTTAATTTTCTCCGTTACTAATAATCGAACAAAAACACTTTTATATACTAAATTATTTGTTTTTTTAAGCTCTTTAAAAAGGTCTAAAGAGAAATCGGGAAATTTTGTGTTTTGAGGGTCATAAGTGAGAAAAACTAATTTTTACCCCATAAAACCCCCAGTAAAGCCCCGTTCCCATGGTCCGGTCGTGCTGGTTCGCGAACTCATTCAAGTTTATCCCGCTTTACACCTTTAAACCAAGTTTCATCAAAATCGGACAAAAATTACTCAAGTTATCGCGTTCACGGACGTATATATATATAAGTCTATATTATATATATATACATACGGTATATAAATACCCCCGCCGCAGCAAACCTGCCGACTAAGCGAATTTCCATTTGTCTGAATTGATTTTCAGTTAAATATATTTTAATAACATTAGGTTTAACGAGTACCTAGGTTTGCTGCTACAAGGAAACTAATTAAGTGTGTTTTTGAGTAAAATATTGATAGCTTAGTACAAAATAAATAAATTTGCCAAGTTTGATCAAAATGTATCCATAAACAAGCAAACTACAACATTTGACAATATTCTCCATAAGAATAACATGGGAATTTTAAATTTAGAATTTTTTAAATTTTCTCCGTTACTAATAATCGAACAAAAATACTTTTATATACTAAATTATTTGTTTTTTTAAGCTCTTTAAAAAGGTCTAAAGAGAAATCGGGAAATTTTGTGTTTTGAGGGTCAAAAGTGAGAAAAACCAATTTTTACCCCATAAAACCCCCCGTAAAGCCCCGTTCCCATGGTCCGATCGTGCTGGTTCGCGAATTCATTCAAGTTTATCCCGCTTTACACCTTTAAACCAAATTTCATCAAAATCGGACAAAAATTACTCAAGTTATCGCGTTCACGGACGTATATATATACAAGTCTATATATATATATATATACATATATAAAAATTTGAACGAACGGTGTTTTTGGCCTCTGGGGACATCAAAATGAAAAAGTAAATCGGTCCCGGGTCTAGGTTTTACCGTGCCACCTACGGTAATAGCTACTTCCCTATAGGGAAATTCGCTAAAATTTGAACGAATGGCGTTTTTGGCCTCTGGGGACATCAAAATGAAAAAGTAAATCGGTCCCGGGTCTAGGTCTTACCGTGCCACCAACGGTAATAGCTACTTCCCTATAGGGAAATTCGCTAAAAAAAGTAAAAGTGTAACCGATTTTGTTTTTTGAATCAATGGTTTGAGTGTGTAGGCCCTAATTTAGGTAATCTTAAATGCCTTGAACTATGGAACTGGTAAAGTGTCACCTATGAGTATTGATAGAAGAAGACATTGTATCCCTGTGTTAAAGTTGATAAGCCAGTTTTTTTTAGCTGATTGTAAATTACTGACTTAGGCTATGTTCAATACTGCAATACTGCCAATTTTAAATAATTCCAACTGATAGGACGACTTACAGTTAGCCAACATATTTTATGTCAAATCAACTTTCACCCTCAGTGACAAAAACTATGGAATAAAATACAACTAACTTTGGAGGTAGCGCTTTCTGTGAGTGGCTAATTCAATGGATGTAGTTTTTTAATAGATAAAAGGCTAGACACAGCTGGTCCAAATATAAATGGTATAACTATTTCAGTATTCAAAAGTGAAGTTAAAATGTACTGTTTGAACCTAACGTATTCCATTAAAATATTAAAGTAGGTACATCAAAGGGAAACTAGATACAATTTATTGTACCTACTAATATACAATGTTTATATAGAATATACATACAATGTATCAAATTTCTCTTTACTGTAAAATATGTATAAATAGTTAATGCTTAAATTGTTTGGGCATTTACTTTTTTCTATAGTTTAGGAGCAATGGTAAAACATTGTGGTTTTAAGGTAGATGTGTAACCATTTCATACCGTAAACTTAATGAACCAAATGTTTCGAAACCGCGCCCTCCCCCATTGCAAACACAAAGCATGAGTGGAACTGCAATTTAAGCATGTTACACTGATACAACCATGTACGAAGGACGAGTACTCTGGTTAGGCCCTACCGCAAATCTATACCCAAGTTAGGCCTATAGTTTCTAAATTAGCCTAAAAGCGTTCTAAAAATAATGTCAACTTAATGTGGGGCCTTATAAAAATCATTTTCATGTTGGTTGTATTCACCTTGTGTTTGCTTGAAACTCGTCTGACTTGCATAACTAATGGCTTAAATAAAAGCCGGTATTTCACTAAAGGTTCTTAAACCATAATATAGGCCCTATATAGGTTATATAATTATAACTGGTGAAATAGGCTACACCTTAAATTGAAGTAAGAATATTCTAAATAATCAAATTTATGTTTTTTTGCTCAAGTTATACAGGTGATGCCGATGCTTGATGTGAAATCTGTGCGTGCATACTTTAAATTTAAGACCAAAATTATGAAAATCGGTCGGGTAGAAGAGCTAAGCCGACTCGGAAAAGAAAAACCAATATTTTTTATTTAGGTACCATATACGACCATGATTTGGACCACGTGACCAGTTGTTTTTTAGCTCCCATGAGTGTTAAACAAAGCCCCCGCAACAAAACTTTAGGGACATATAAGTGCGCACGGGACATGGATAACTTAAACATGGACGAGTTCAGTAAAGTTAGCAAAGTCTACACTAATTTACACAGACTAAATTCATAGCATGACAAAAAAATTACAAGTAGGCCTAGCTTTGAGTCACAAGGAGTGTTGATTGGATAAATACATTTGAAGCTTAACTGTTACATCTTATGATAATTAATTTATTATTAGAAGACTTACCGTTGGGGCCGTATTTTTCTTGATTTCTTTTAACTTGGTCTGGCGTTAATCCCCGTTCAGGATCAACACTGAAATAATTTAAAACTTCATCTACTGTCTTTGCGTGGGCGTCTTCCATGGCGACGTGTGTACCTGACCTCACCGGCACATGAACTGGTTAATCTGAAACAAAATTACTTTTCATTAGCGTTACAATAAACACCAAGTGATGAATTTCTCACAGTTTATCACAAAGCTAAATAAGTTAAGTTCAGGTTAAAATAATTATAAATTGTGCATGGTGTGTTCTTTATGAATATACTGTATTTTATTAACTTAAAAATTTATCTTTGAGGCCTTACTTACAGGCCTAATTTACATATGTAAGTTAAGTTACCCGAAGTTAAACCCTAATCGTTTAAATTTTTTTAGTGTATGGTAATTCATGACTGCTTGTCTCTGTCGCCATTTACTGTTTAACTAAGTGTAAACAAACATGAAGGATTGATGGGATTGCCTAGGGGAAGAAGAAACCTAAGACGACAAACATTAATTAGTTTTAAACAAAATACAGACAACATCTTAACCTTACTTAAATAAACATAACCTAAACACCGTCACCTTTCAGTGATTTGTTTTCATAATTGCTGATTTAAGTTGTTTTGTATATGCCTATGATAATGCAATGAGCTCATTTCTGTTGGCTAACTTATAGGCCTAATGCTCATTGTAAAAGTTGTTGCATGTCATTTTTCAAGAATAGCCAACTTAATTCACATTAACCCTCCGAGTGTCCATAGTTTAGGCCTTAATGTCCACCTATTTTTGGCCCCTTTGCAAGGTTTTATTAAAACGGATCTGAGAAGCTTAAAACAATGTTAATTCTAATGTTCTATATACCGTACCATTTTGTTTGGAAAATCATGGGCTTCAATATTATATATAAAACATAAGGAACATTTTTTCAAAAAAAAATTTTTAGGTAAAAAAAAAATATAATTTCAAAAAATTTTCAAAAAAAAAATAAGTTCGCGCTCAATGAAATTGTATAAATTATAGGCCTATAAATATTTGAAAATAGCCACTTTGTTCTAAATTTAATGAGGATTACAAATATATAATCATATAGCGAGGTAAGTTATCAAATAAATAAGTTATGAGCGAAAAACGGATTTCAGTACATAGCGTTTAGCTAAGAATGCATAGCCTAACCATAGCTAGGAATCTGGCTGATAATTTACATCAATATCACTACCTACTTCTTCAGGATCATCAACCAGCACTTCAAAACCACTTAAATCTTCTTATAATGCACCACGTATATCACTACTTTTGATTTTTAACACTAAAACAATGATAAACGTAATAAAACACATCAGTCATCGGTCCGGGGGAACCTAGCTGTTTACAAATACACGCACGTCAGCTGTCTGCTACAATATTTTCGGAACTAAAATGAATAGCGCTTAGAGACAGACCTCTGGAGAAAGCTTAGAATATTACGGAAAGAACGATACCTAACTCGATCCAGTTCAATCCGATTCAGTCAGTCATAGAGCCTTCGCCGTAAACGATGTTTGTGCGTCATAAAAGTGACGCGTGACCCTACACAAAGTGTGTTGTGCGTCATTTTTATGACGTGTGACACTCGGAGGGTTAATACTTATTTAATAATTAAGCTAGCCCAAGTTAAGTTACGATATCCTAAGCTAACTTACTTAGGTTAGGTACTTATTATTTCTTGTGAATCGAACTGGTTCTTCGACCGTTGGGAGGTTAAACAAATAAATAACTTAGGCTAGCCTAGAACAAAATTTAGCTAAGTTAACAGTGGGAGGGTTTCTAATTCAATGATTGCAAACTTAGCCTAATGAATGTAATTCGTTACCGGTAACTTGATAATAAAAACTTGACTAGCCTACATAAGTTACCTTACGATAGGCCAGTCCTATCACCAGATAACTTATAACTTAATGGATGGTTAGGTTAGGCCCTAATATAAGTAGGCCTAATTGGCGTAAAAATATCTTCATATGGAATATCATGTATTTTTAGGATACCTAAATAGGCTTGAGTTACTCCATGAGCAGTGCACAGTAAAAAGGTTAGGCCTAGCCTACTAAGTTAAATTTTAGGCCTAACATGCCAGATAACCTGTGTAGGCTACTTAATTAACTCACCGAGATCCTTTAAGCACACTTTGATCTTCAAATCGTAGCCTAGTTTGTTATAATTATCAGTTTCTTTAGGAATGGTTTCGGCAGTCAAATAGTTGTTTAGGCCTAGCCAAGTTTATGAACAGAGTTGGTCGCACGCAATATAACCTATCTTCAAACGTTAGGACGTGATCTTAAAAATCAGTGCAAGCTTTTAGTAAATAGTTTTGAATTGTCATAACAATGCAATAAACTCAAAGGTAACTAACTTGTTTAAAGATATTACAAATAACATTTTTATGTACCTATCGTTCAACACCTGAGAGAATGATGTGCACGAAAACTGTAACACGGCTCACTTGATTATGTTATACACTGCATTGTTAATTGTTAGAGAACCATAAAATGTTCAGCTTTTAAAATGTTGCTAGAGAAGTTTCAATACTTTAACATTAAATAAATACCGGATGAAATAACCCAAATATATAACTTAAAATACGAAACAAAATTACGGCAGCAAGACGACGAACTAGAATCTACGACTGCAAACTACACGGTACACGGAATGACGGAATACGGAATGATGGTGCCACAGCCTCACTAATACTGAAAAAAATGTTCACTCGCACTCATGGAAGCCATTGCATGTGGAATTATCCGATTGGTTGTTCAGTGGTTTTATTTATGACGTGTTCCGCATAGTAACGCGCGAAAGTTTAAATCGTGAAACTTCGTGACTCGCTGCGTCGACCTTTTTTATGTTAACAACAGAATTTACTTATCTAGAATAATCTTTTCTTATTAATGGAACTATCATTTCTCTTTAAAGCAAAATTATGAAACTACAGTAACCAGTTGAGCGTATTTGAGTAACCAGCAACAGCTAGGTAGCCTACCTTGTAAAATTGATTTTTAAGCAAGTGACCACCTCAGTCCAGTGTTGAATCACGATGCATAAACCATTACCCAACGTAAAAATTCTTTAGCATTGAGTGATCATTACATAACAGCTAGTGTAGTTATGTAGGTTTGTTAAGTTTGTTTTACCTTTTTCGTTTACCTAACATTTAGTTGCATTATTACATTTCATAATAATCCACTGCCACTTTTCTGTGGATTTATTTCCCCTATATTTCAAGAAAAAACCTTACATTGTAACCAAATATTTAGACATTAAAACATAAAACATATTCTTGCTTCAATAGTCCCTATGTAGGATAACAAGTAAAGTGGTACTTGAATGAAATTGTATTTTTATTTCAAAAACCCCATAAGTTAAGTATCAAAATGAAACCATCCCTAAGAATTCCTCAAGCGTTTTAACTAAACTTGCTACAGAACAGGATAAATGCCACAGAAATACTTACGAAGAGCGACACTCCCTCGTGCACAGTGCAATATGGGAATTGGCAACACGTTTTTTATGTAAATAGTCCCAAAATACAAGCGAGGGACAGGAGTGGGGGATAAAACTAGCGACAATCGCAGTAAGGCCCGGGCAACCCTCGGTGACGGTTTTAGCGACGCAAAGAACCCTCAATTATTTTGGCAGAGAACCACGCGGCAATGAAGGGGAAGGGGCGATGAGCCCCAGCTTGTCTATAAAGAGACAAGAATACCTGGACAAGCGTCAACGTTTAATCTGGTACTCTAGGCGGCATGGCCATGGCAGCTCACTATATCGAATAACTTCCAGTCGAACGGATGATATTTACTTACATAACAGTGTTTAGTGCCCAATCATAATTTATTAGTTTTCAATAAGAATACACTCATGAGTTGTTCCTAAATTTGCAGCAATCGAAAAAGGCACTGTTTAAGTGATATTAAAGTCATTTTGTATTTTCAAAGAATTTGTTAAATAAATGTTTGTTTGGCATGCTTGTTGAACTGTAATACCTTCGACCACTCATAAATGTTTGAAGGATCCAGAACTTTCCAACAAAATTATTTCTAGAAGATGACCTGCAAATGTATCTGTTTTATGACTGTCATAACTTCGAGCCTCGTCCCACGCAATTTTGGCCGACATTCAGCGACTGTTTACATTAGACCGAGGTTGATCCGAGCAGACTACAGCCAATAGCCAGGGATTCAACAACACAACAACACCGCTCTCATAAGATTGGTCTTACAGACTTAATTTATTTTGTAATGACAATTTCGTGTTATACAATAATTAAGTAACATTCGACTAAGCCAGTATTATATTTCAGTAATATATTGTGATATTTTTGTAATCACAATTTTCTTTACAATCTGTTCAGTTTTTTGAACATTTAGCAAATACAATAACAACTGTTAATATAACGTTAGTTAGTCTCTGTCCATCGACAGATCTAACTTAAAAATATTTCAATGAAAAAATAAATAAGTAAATAAACAAGAGAAAAATAAATTATTCAAACAAAACGTGAGCTGAGGTCTAAAACATGTATGAAAATAATTATGATATTAAGGATGGAATTCTAAATTTCTCTCTGTCCCTACCATAAATCTTACTAATATTATAAAAATGTGAAAGTTTGTGTGTTTTTGTTTATTTGTTTGTTTGTTTGAAGTTCAATCACGCATAAACTACTGGACGGATTGGGCTGAAATTTGGCATGATGATAGCTTACATTCCCTATTAACATATAGGTATATTATTATCTCAAAAATCCTTTCGGGCTCCGCCCCAGTAGCTCTGCAGTTCCCCATGTTAACCTTATGAGTATTCATATTTAAAGGGAATTAAAGCATTTAGTCAGCTGTTTCAACTAAAAAAGTTGGTTCTATGAAGTACCTACAAAAGCATTGAAAGGTTATAAGATTTACCTACAGGGTGCAGCACTATAATTATTTTTGCATTGATGTACAGCTAATTTGAACTAAGCAGCAACAACCATCGATCTCTAGAGATCGATGGCAACAACAGACTGTGATACGCAATGAGAACTGTCAAAGTAGGATTGTTTACAGTTATTTTTTTATGTCATGAATAATTCGTGATTTTTGCGAATATTTAATAATTTATTGAGCGGAGTG